GGAAGGAATGCCATAAAAGGTTTTTTTTAGAATAAATGAGGGAACCATGGATTTGCACCAAAAGGACAACTCCCAAAGAGATGAAGATGATCTGGCAGGAGGGGCGCAGACAAGCAGATAAAAACAGAAAGAGCAGAACGAAGGTAGGGAGGAAGACACAGCTACTTACTTGGGTCGCAGTTAACTGTAGTGGCTCTGAAATACTTGGTAAGTATCTGTTCTGCTTGTCCCCAGATAGTCACAAAGGAATGGATATGTGTTAGAAGTAATGGCAAAAAATTCTGGTGAGGAAGATATAAAGGAACCCTGGATCTTCACCATTTGGCTAATCCTCAAGTTGGTGGAAATGAACAAGGAGGACAAGAAGAATTTTATTCCTAGTAATATTTGTACTTTGAGTTATTTGAAAATAATGTAAATAAGTGTACTCATATATGAAAACATTAAAAATAAATTTAAAAATATTTCTAGAGGTGGAACTCCATGAGAGTCATCCTTCTACTTTGGCATCATATATCTGTGTTGTCATTTTTCAAGACTTACCTAGATAGTCATATTTCTGAGTTGGTGTTATGAGTATAGTTTCTCTGTTTATTCTAGAAGATATCACAACTTAGTTATTACTCCTCTTACCCTTTCGCCTTTTAACTCCCCCTTTCAAGATGTTTCCTGAGCCTTGGATGCAGGACTTGTTATAAATGTAATTATTGGGCTGGGCTCCTCATGATCACTTGATCACTGTATTAAAATCAGTTGTGGTTTTCTGTAATAGTCTCCATTTGCTGATGAGAAGTTTCTTTGATGTGGAATGATAACTTCACTTATCTGTTGGAGTAAGAATAAGATTTAAAATGTAATTAGGAGCTGATCTAGTAAAGTGGCAGTAGTAGATTTTCTTTAAGATACATGAACTTACTAGCCCTGGATATCTAGTTAGGTTTCTAATACTGGGTATGATATTCCTTCTATTGACTAGGCTGCTCATGTGTAATAAGGGAGAATTAGTCTGTCCTGGAAATGAGCCCTCTAAATTGTTATCCAATACAAAGTGGTCACTATTGAAATCATATACACAGAAGCAATATTAATAGAACTCAGCAGGTTATATTTACATATTTCTGCACTTGCTTCTTTAGTTTATGTTATTTCAAATCAAAGGGTTTGTGATTAATGAGAATAAACATGCCTGACCTTGATTTCAATAACATGATGGTACAGTCTGTCTTGGTGCTGGGATGGCACAGCATCTGGGGCTCCTGATTTAGATGTCAATGTATATAATATGCTATTTTTCTATGGATTATCCATTGAACTCAGAATTTCCTATTAGATCCACTTCCCTTAGCCTATCTATAGTGATCAGCAGGTTTCTAGAATACAACAAACACTTAATATATATTTTTGAAAGGAATGAATGATTTTCTCATAATTGGTTGTGTAGCTTTGTTGGTGACAGTCATCCAAACAATACATTCTAGCTTCCAATGTGGCCTAATTTATAATCCTAAATCAATTCTGATCCTGATCTCTGAATACATTTAGAAAAGCTGTTTAAACTCTATCTCTGTTCACTGTCATCTATAAAACAGTAAATTGTGTGTGTGTATGTGTGTGTGTGTGTGTGTGTGTGTATACAAATCATTTAACTAAGCTAAGATAATGGCCTATTAATGTAGGCCAATTGGTAGAATCCTTGCCTGACATTCCTAAAGTACTATACTAGATCTCAAATACCACATAATATGAGTGTTGAACACTTGTAAATTAAGTACTTGGGAGATTCAGACAGGAAGACCAGAAGTCTTCCACAACTGTCTAGCAGGTTCAAATTTAATCTGGGTTACATGAGACTGTATTACAATTTAAATCAAGCATAAATATGTAACTAAATGGTGTCTTGGTTTTTATATATATATATTGATATATGATGTGTGCCTGCAAGAAGTGTGCATGTGTTCATGTGAATCCAGGTGCATTCATGCCATAGTATGCATATGAAGTTCAGAGGGCAATATCACTATCAGTCCAGATAGTCCATTTTTGATACACAGTATTTGCTGTCATTCACTGATCCATACTCCCTGCTAGTGTACCAGGGAGTTTTCCATGCTGGTCACATCTCTGCCTCTCCTCTGCCAGAAGGGACAGGACTTTGTTTTTTGGTTTGTTTTGTTTTGTTTTTATTTTATTCCTTTATTTTTTCCAAAGCTGCTCCCCATATCCTGGTTCCTCTTTCACTGTAACTCTTCTACCCTCCCCTCCTTCTTTGAGAGGGTGAGACCCCTCTTGGTATCCCTTTACCTTGACACATCAAGTCTCTACCAGATTAGGCACATCCTCTCCCTCTGAGGCCAGACAGCCCAGCCATGAAGACTAAGCTGCCTATCTACTACATATGTGTCAGAGCCTCACAACAGTTCCTGTATGTTCTTTGGTTGTTGGCTCACATTCTGAGAACTTCCAGGGGTTCACATCTGTTGACTCTGTTGGTCTAACTGTGGAGTTCTCATCTACTTCTGGGCCCTCTATCCTTCCACAAACTCTTCTCTAGGTGTCACCACCCTCCATTCAAGGTTGGGCTGTGGGTATCTGCTTGTTTTTGATCACTGATGGATATAGCAACTCAGAGGATAGTTATGTTAAGCTGAACAGGAGATACTGTGACTGAAAATTGACTGATGCTCAGGGTCAACCACTTTTTTAGGGTTCTATCAAGAGTTCACTGTGGAAGTTAATGAGAGTAAGATTCAGGAGAATGTTGAGCTGAGTCCTCAGGGGTAAAATTACTGTGCCTTTCACCCTCCAAGATAGCATGTAAGGTGAGACCACATGCCACACATTTGAAGTATGAACTATGGAATGTTGATTATTACTGGAAACCATACATACTTATTTCTATTCAGTATGTTCTAAATAATGAGGATATTTTATACTCATCTACAATAATTGTGTATGCCTAAAACAAATACTCAATTTTGAATCTCATCTGTCCCTATATTCACCTAAGTACATAACAGAGTATATTATATCAACTACTAAAATACTAAAAGAAAAATTGGTGCACATGAATAAAAGAAAGAAAAAAATGGTCCATTTTAATAAATAGTTTATATATTCTCTAATATAAACTAACCTGGAACAAATATCAACTTGCAGGTATATTTACCTAAGATAATTTGTTATCATGTACATTCCATAATCACCAAGTAAAAATTCACCAGTACTTGTATAAAGAGGAAAACAAGCAATTGACAGACTCCTTAAAAATTAATTGTGTTTGTGTGAAATGACCTGCTCAGTACTCACCAGAGCAAAGGTAATGATCACTGATGATTTGAATTCACACTGGAATCCAGAGCATCTTCAGGGACTTATCCTCAGGGATAAACAATAACAGTAGGAAAGAGATTTATATCTATAAAATCATAATAACTTTGAACTTCTTACTTTAAAATGAATTCTTATTTTAAGAGGTAAGAGTTTGACTTTGTTGTTAAATGGAGATACTTTATTCTTTGAAATCTATTGCATTTCAAACCATGGTGGAGAAACATGTCAGATGGAGTTACGCAGTTATATAACAGAAGGGGGGAAATTTTCCATAGAATTTCCTTGTATTTCATTAATAAATTGTTCAGAATAATCAAGCATGAAAACAAGTTTCCATAGGTTCCTCATTTACCCATCCATTGATCAATGCAGAAACCAACATGACCTTCATGCATGTAGCATTCACCAACAGGTTAACAAGTTCACTAGCGTTGAACTCTTGCTGGCTTACTGCCAGGGGATATCCTGTTCAAGGACCTGCTTTGTTTATAGAGTGAATCTGCCAGCCTCGCAGCATCACTGCAGAAAAATGAGGATGTAAGTTTAGAATGTGAGGGATGGCAGTCAATCTGACTCATGCTGAGTGAATCTTGGTAAATCTCTTAACTTCTGAGGTTGAATACTGAGCAGTGTGCTTTGTTGAAAATCATGTGAATTCATTCTTAAATCCTTCAGCTAGAAAACACTGTGACACTGGAAAAGGAGTGAGTCTGTCTAAAGAATTACTAATAACATGTTATATCTTCATATTTTGCATGATGATAAAAATGGTATTTCAAACTACTTTAAAGAACAATGATCTATATAGAAGAATTTAAAATATTGGATGAGATTGCAACAGGAAGTCAGATTTGTAAATTTAGTGTGATCTATATTCAATTTTACAGACTTTGTATTACCCATTATCCATCAGAAAGCTGAAATTCCACTCTGATATTTGTCCTAATTTATATAGCTCTCAATTGTGTGGCCACCCAACATTTTATAGCCTGGTTTCTAAAAGGAATACTCTAAGTTCAATACACCTGGTATTCATATCTACTTCTCTTTTTAAAGATTTGTTGTTTTTAATTTATGTGCAAATGTTGTCTTATATACATGTTGTACCACATGTGTGCCTGGTGACTCTGAAGACCACAAGAGAGTGTTGGGTCCTCAGAATTGGAACATTGGAACTACAGACTCAGAATTAATATATATATATAATTTGTTTAAGGGGGCACTGGTACATAGCATATGTGTGGGTAAAAAAGAACAACTTTCAAGAGTTGGTTCCAGGTATCAAACTCTAGCTGTAACATGTCAGGCTTGGTAGCAAGATATCTTTACCTACCAAGATATCTTACTGGTCCAAGTCTCATAAATTTAAACTTTAGCCTTAATGACAATCTTGTATATTTCATTATAAGTAAATGTAAATAAAATTATTTATTATTTATAACACATTTCTAGCATTTGTACTTAAATAATTTTGAAATGGTTATTGCACATAAATGTACAAATAATGACAATGCTAGTAAAACATCAATAGTTGATCCAATATTTTGAATAATATATTAGTGTGTAATGCGCTCCATGCCCCTGTTAAATGAAATGAAGTGATCTATTTATAAATCTCATTTTGTACTGTCTCCATCACAGCCTCAATATAGCAGCAGCTACACTGTCCCATGGATTTCTTGGAGGTTGGGAACCACACTACAGTGACAGAGTTCATTTTATTGGGATTAACAGATGACCCAGTTCTTAGAGTTGTCCTCTTCACCATCATCCTGTGCATCTACCTGGTGACTGTGTTTGGGAACCTCAGCACCATCCTTCTCATCAGAGTCTCTTCCCAGCTCCGTCACCCCATGTATATTTTTCTCAGTCACTTGGCTTCTGTCGACATAGGCATTTCATCATCGGTCACACCCAATATGCTTGTTAACTTCCTGGTAAAGCAAAATACCATTTCCTACATTGGATGCTCTGTACAGTTTGGCTCAGCTGCTTTCTTTGGGACAGTTGAATGCTTCCTTCTGGCTGCCATGGCTTATGATAGGTTTGTAGCAATCTGTAACCCACTGCTTTATTTCACCAAAATGTCCACAGAAGCCTGTATCCAGTTGGTTGTAGGATCCTATTTACAGGGTTTTCTTAATGCTTCTCTTTTTACTCTTTCCTTCTTTTCCTTGTTCTTCTGCGGACCAAATAGAATCAATCACTTTTACTGTGATTTTGCTCCTTTGGTGGAACTCTCTTGTTCTGATGTCACTGTCTCTGTTGTTGTAACATCAGTTTCTGCTAGTTTTATCACAATGATAACAATATTTGTCATAGCCATCTCTTATTCTTATATTTTCATCACCATTATTAAGATGCACTCTGCCGAAGGTCGACAGAAAGCCTTCTCCACCTGCACCTCCCACCTTACTGCAGTCATTCTGTTCTATGGAACTGCTATATTCATTTATGTGATGCCCAAGTCCAGCTACTCCACAGACCAAAACAAGGTGATGTCTGTATTCTACACGGTGGTGATACCAATGTTGAACCCCCTCATCTACAGCCTCAGAAATAATGAGATTAAGGGTACTCTGAAGAGACAACTTGATAAGAAAATATTTTTAGAGTAATCTGTTTTATAAAACTCACTATAATAATGACAATTACCCAAGACCAAGATGTTCATCTCAGGTTTGGTTTTCATCTTCTTCTTATTCCTTTTACCTGAGTCTATTTTTTCTTCCAGTACATATAGATACTATATTTTATTACATTTTCTCTTTTGTAATATTTAATATGTCTTTGAGAACATTATACAATGTATTTTGATCATGTTCAGCCCCTTTCAAACTCATCTCAGAGTAACTCCCTCCTTTACACATTCAACTCTTCTGTTTTATCAACTGCATCTTGTGCTACCTGTACATACTGGGTAATCAGGCTTCTACTGAAGCATGGTTAGCATACCAGGGGCCTTCTCCTTACAATTTACTTTCCTTCTAGAAGTTGGAAGTTACCAATCACTCTTCAGTTACCTGTGGACTTCAAGCCCATAATCCTTCTCTGTGCTAGGATTTTGTCTGGTGTGAGCATGTGGATACCAAAAGTGCTAACCTGAGGCCTATTTGCCATCATCCTATTGTGCCCTGAAAATACTGTTTATTGGTAGCATCCACCATCATTCTCACACAATGATTCCTGAGCCTAGAGAAAAGGAGGTGTGGTATAGAAGTTCTATATACTGTTGAAAACTTCCACAGTCTTCAATTCTCTGCACATTGGCAAGTGTTTTGTTTATTTGTTCATTTCCTTTGTTTTGTTTTTCATTAATCTCTACTACAAAAAGAGATCATTATGATAAGGGTTGGGAGATGTACTAATCTATGTATCCAATGATAAGTCATTGCAAATTGGTTTGTTATTATGTCCACTGAGGGGAATAATTATGGTAGGCTCTTCCCTAGAGCCTATGACCTGTCTACCACAGTTTTGGCTCTGATGGATACGTTAGGTATGATTTTCATCTTGTGGAGTTACATACAGATAAAATTAAAAAGTTCCTGTTCATTCCCATGATACTTGGGAATAATCTATACTATACATATACTACACTATAACACCAGTAGGTATGTCTTTACAAGCTGGTGTTTATTGTACCTGAATTTTTCACAAGATAAATGTCTATAAACATGTATTTTAAAACATCCCAATCTTAGTCTACACTTATTTTAAATTCTTAAACATTTTCAGTCACTTTAGAATAGAATCCAGGCACCCATCTTAGATTTTTGTTCTAATACCACTTCATGGAGATTTCATTCCTAGCCTACATAAGCTAACACAACACACCCCTGACACAGCTATCTTTCCTAGTTAGATAAGCTCCATTTATTCTTTCCGCCATATTCTATGTTTTAAAAGGTTGATTCTTCTCTAGTGTACTCTCCACTGAAGTATTAATTCTATGAGAATTGTTTCATTCAGTAGCAAATCTTTAGTATCTACTTGGTTTGACAATACAATAAAAACTCAATAAAAACATCTATATGGAATGAATGACTCAATGGTTATCTTGTATCTACCTGTAAAATAATTCCAATGCTCTGACACAAGATTCTAGAAAAAAATTCTTGTCTTGAAGAAAGACACTGGTGGTTCTTGATGTCTTTTCCCTGTCTTCTTCAAAAGCGCTCCTCAAATATATAATGCTTGAAATCGTCATTGATACTAACATAAATATTAATTATATTAGCTTTTATGAGATTAAAGTCTATTAAGTTTTAGCCTTAAAATCATAGTCTAAATTGAAGCTCTTCCAGTATCAAAATAAAACCTTTTAAACAATGAATGTGTTCAATAAAGAGACCAGGAAAATCATCAGATAAAGTTTTAACCATTTTTTCTCCAGATACAGATGTCCCACCAAAGGACTCAGATGTTCCACAGTGCAGGAATTAAGATAAAAAACAAAGAGTTGGAAGACCTGCTGGCCATTCATCCCTGCATAAGAAGTTAGCTTACCCAACTAGGTAGAGTTAAGCTTTGATTCTTTCCAGGCATCTGAATTACTTGACGTAATTGGACTAGGTCCAATGGAGTGGAGATGACTGGCTGCAGCATGGTATCCCTCAAGATTATAGGGCAGAACAAAATCTACAAGAACATAAAACACACAATAAGCCTATAGGAGTTTGAAAAGAAATCCAAATGAAGCTGATAGCAGCCTCTCCTGTGCAAATGGCCCACTCTATCAGGAACATTACACTAGCCTCCACCAAACTCTGGGTTTGGCCAGAGTTCTCTGGCTCCCACTGCCACCAGGAAGGCTCAGAAGATGGTGGCTTCTCCTATCCTTAGGCATGGCCTGCTACAACCATTCATCCAGTCAGCCTCTACCAAAATCTGGTCAAATCATACAAATGAGAGCTTTTCATCTCTACCATAGGGAGTTCAGGAGTGTCTTTAGAACCAATCACCCAGGAGGAAGTTTGTGGCACATTTACCCTGCCTCTAATAGCCTCCAGGTAGTCCTGGCCAAAAACAAACAAACAACAACAACAACAAACAGAAGTAGAAATAAAATTTCACCCTACTCTGAGCAGAGCAGACTCCAAGCAAGACGTGACAAGAGACAAAAACACAGATATACAATACACCGAGGGTCTGAACTCAGGGATATGTGAAGAGCCAGTTGCACTCCTAAAAATGCTCTTCTATCATGTCAGGAGGTCCTCAGCAATCCAACTGGATCTGCACCCAAATGTTAGGGTCCAAGAATCACTGAAAGAAGACCCCAGAATCAAATAGTATACAAAAGCAAAGAACATTTATTTTGAGAAATTACCAGCTTGCAGAGGTTAACCATTTATAAAAATAATGACCTCAGACAAAGAGTCACAGGACTTTTTATAGGGAACTAGGGGAATTTTAGCTAGTGTTAGGTAATCTAAAACTTCATTTGTGGGTGCAGGGGAAGTTATATGGGTCGGCTTTTGATTGGCTGTTATGTTAGCTTCACTATATTTGGTGAGGCCTACTAGAAATTCCAGGAACTGACTCAGCTCCAAGCTTATCATCCCTTTGACAGAGCCATTAATGGTGAATAGCCCATTGTCAGTAGCTCCCTCTGAGGAACTGAATCTTCTTTTCTGGGAAACTGACTTTTCCATTCCCAAGGTTACATTTTAGGAAATTCCTCAACATAGTTTGATGATTTTGTGACAAATGACACATGTGGAAGTGTAGATTTTTTACTGAAGAAATCGTCTAACACCACAGGCTCTGAGTACCATGTAAAAACAAATTTTTAAGTCAAGATATGAGAGTTAGCCTGCTTCTAGCTGGATGAACATGGGTAAAAATACTATTTGAGGTTGAATATTCATCCCTTGGCCACCATGGGCAATCACATTATTTTATTCTGTTGTACTCTAGCTAAAAAACAACTTCATGTTAGGAAAGGATTTGGTGTATATATGAATAAGCTCATTCTAATATTATGATAAATAGTATTCACACAGTGGCTAGTGATTAGAATAATAGTATAAGGTACTGATAGTAAAACATTGGTTTAATTACTACGTGTTTAAAGTATTTAACATATTTATCATTGGTCTTCTCATTTATAATTTTAGTATGCATTCTTGTTGTGTCTTCTGAGCTCCTGAAAGAAATCTTACTTCTTGCTATAAAAATTAGCCTGATGTATTCAGGTAACTGATATTCTGGATAACTCATGTCCATAAACAAGGGCCTCTAGTTGGTAACAAAAAACTGGCCTGTTACATCTCCCAAATGAAGACATGCTCTTCACTTTATTGTCAGACTTAACATATAGTGTGCAGAGCACTGTACAGAGTAAATATACAGAGTAAATTAGATTCACTCTGCCTGGGGTTCATATTCTAATTCTAGTGCTTTTTATGTAAAGTTAGGTTACTGAACATTTTCATATCTGATATTGAAGTCTAAATAGCACTCAAAGTTCAAGGCAAATTTGAGGACACTTCTCAGGGGTACTTTCTTTTCTCTGATCAACTTTGTTTGTAGAATGACTCTGAATACAGATGACTGACCTTATTTGGAGGATAACCCTGCACAGAGCTTCCTGCTAGTGTCACATGATTCACCACATGAGTCTCACTCTTTCATCTATTTATATGATAATTGGGTACTGTGTTGTGACCAATTAGCTCTTTCCACTGATAGCCATAAAAAAAACCTATATACCCTACCACCAGAGCAATAAAGTTGACCTGTCTCACTGAAGCTGTCTCCAGAAGTCTTTGCATTGTACTCACAGCTGTCAGCTCTCTGCGTGCCACTTCTCTTGTCTGAGCCCTTATGTGGCATTGGTCAAAGATCCCCAAGGAAAAGGGAAATCAACATCTGGGTAGATCTATTCCCATCTTCCTTCGAAGCTGCCATATTGATTTCTATGGTGGCTGTACAAAATCGCACTCCCATAAGCAATGGAGGACTCGTCCCCTTGTTCCATATCACTGACAGCATGAGACATCACTTGTATTATTGATCTTTATTATTCTGACAGGTGTAAAGTAGAACCCCAAAGTAGTTTTCATTTGCATTCCTCTGATACCAAAGGATGTTGAACATTTATTTAAGTGTTTATTAGCCATTTCGGATTTCTCTATTAAGAATTCTTTGTTTAGATCTGCACTACATTTTTAAGTTGGACTATTGGGCTTGTTGGTCTCTAGTTCCCCGAGTTCTTTACATATTTTGTATGTTAAATCACATATGAGGTTGATAAAAACGTCTTTTCCAATTCCATAGACTGCATCTTTGTCTGATTTGCCTTACAGAAACTTTTAAGTTTTCTGGGGTCTCATTCATTAATTTTTGATCTTTGTGCAGGCACCACCAGTATTCTATTCAGTAAGTTGTGTCCTGTATCAATGCATTCTATGCTGTCCCCACATTCTCTTCTATCAGGTTCAGTTTGTCTGATTTTATATTGAAGTTTTTAAACTACTTAGAGATTTGTTTTGTGAAGTGTTATAAATATGAATCTATTTGTATTCCTCTACATGCAGACAACCAGCATCATCAGTACCATTTGCTGAAGATGCATTTTCCCAATATTTCTAGCTTATTCATCAAAAAACAT